TGGCGGCCCCCGGGCGCTGGCTCCAGCGCCCCAACTCCCACTCTCACCTACGGCAGGCGAGGTACAGGGTCAGCGCGCAGAGGGGGTGGGGCGCAGGGGAGGGGGCTGGGGCGGCTCCCGGGATAAACTTGACTGTCCCCTTCCCCCGCAGCCGCTGCAGACTGAGCGCCAGGCCGGGGCGGAGTGCGTGCTCGTGCGGCAAGTGGGCGTAGAGGTGAGCGCGAGCGGCGTGGTTCCTGCGGTCCCCTCCCTCCTGGGGCAGTGGGTCCCGCGCCTCATCCCATCCGCGGAGCCCCGGGCGCCCTGTGAGCGCCAGCGCGTGCCAGCAGTGGGTAAGCTGGCCCGGGTTTGGGGGCTCCGATGCGCACTGGAGCGGGGGCGGCAACCGGGACCCAAGATGGGAGGGAGCGGCCCGGCAAAGGTCACAGCCTGGGCGCACCGCAGCCCCGCGCACCCCCCAGCCCCGCGCACCGAGGCAGCCTCGCGAGCCCGGACTGGCGCCTGTGGCTTCTCCAGGTGAAGCCAGAAAGGTTGCGTCGCGAGGCCGTTGAGCGCTTCTCACGCCGAGGGTGGCCCTTTGGACCTCTGGTCTTATTTAAAATGCTGTGTGGTTTTTGAACTTCAGGTCGCGAAATGGAATCGAGTGAACCGGAGACCTCGAAAACGGAAACGAAAGGAGAAAGAAGTGTTGGAAAAGGTAGGGGTCCCCGAAAGAGAGCACTGGGTGGAGTTCTTGAAAAATCTCCCTATCTGCCCCTGAGGACTTGGTCACAGCTGTAGAGTAGCATTCTTTAAAAAGTTTTAATTAGATATACAGCAAATCGTAAATTTACGTGGATAGTTCTATAGAAATATTGGCTGGCAATCCTAATGATTAACAACATATTATGTTCTTAGGAAGTAATAATGACCCGGGGTCGAGATTCGTTTCATGATCGATAAGTAGAGCTGTAGGATGTAAGCGGGTCCCATTATCATATTAGGCCAGAGTATTTATTATGGAAATGTTAATGTGCCCCTAAAAAAGGGGAGCTTCTGAATAAATCACCCAGTATCGGGTATCTTTGTTTGGTTGTGACAGATACAATAGCACACTCACTCATTTAGACTTTAATCTCAAAAATGGAGAAGCTGAAAAAAGTAGATTACTTTGAAATGCTAGGAGGGATTTTATCTACTGTAGAACAACTGAGAAATTTGTTTTCTGAAATTTAGAGTTTCAGTGCATTACTTTGCAGAAGTTTGGACTACCTATTTTCTCCTGAAATTGTCTTAAGTTAAAACTTGATGTGTCATTGTAATATTGTGAAATAAGGTAAGTAGTCTGATGTTTTCTAAATAACTTATTGAAAACTCTTAAAAGTGAATAGTGTTTTTACAGTGTTACAGCAGATAAGATTTTTGTTGCTTTAAAAATTACTTTACTGTTTTTTGATTCTTGATAGCACCAAGGGATTAAAATAGCGGTGTGTTGTTTTTCTGCTGCTAGAATGTATGATGAATCACTCCTGTTTCTGAAGCCAAATTCTTGCTGATAGCATTGCTGCCAACTTGTGTGATGTGTTGCCTTAGTATGGGCATTGCAGCGTCCGAGAATGTGCACAAAGCACATCATAATGAAGGTGATACCAAAGTTCCAGAGTGCATTTAAGGATACCAAGGGCGGCTTCTAAGAGATTTGGAAAAGAAACTGGCTAGGAGTATAGCCATTTGTAGCTAGACATTCCGTATGTGGAAAGTAGTACCCCAGCTTTTCCCTGTTTAAAAAAAGTCATATATGTCACTTTGGTTAAACAGTAGTAATAGAAGAAGTCAGTTTGAACAGATTTGAGTTTTCTGACCATACCTCAGCATATTATGGTAGGTCATGTTTGTTTAACTTTTATGGTCTAGGTGTTTTTAAAAATGTTTGTGAGGTGATAAAGGAGATCAATCATAAAATGTCCAAAAAAGGAAAAAGAATTATGGCTTGCTTAGTATTTAAAATATTTTCTAGCTATTTTTTAAACTGAAAATAAGATTATCCAAGCACACAGTGTATCATGCATTAAAGAAGGGGAAGCTGTCATCTTTGTGGATTACTGGGTACCATCACTACCAAAATCTGAACTTGAAGTACCCATGTTTGTGACACCTGTGGTCTGATCACTACTTTCTGAGTCTGAGAAGAGATGGGTGGGGGACTGAGGATTTTACTTCCCAAGCAAAAGGGAGCCCTTCCCTGAGCCTTTTCCTTGAGAGACTGTTGTGTTAAAGCTTATGAGGAGGACACACATTTGCCTTTTCTTTTTTTGAAAATGTGGGCAGCAGTCTTAAAGAGGATATGAAAATGAAGTAGGTTGGGACCAACGTGCTGAAAAGAACTTCCTTTCAAGGAATGAAGCTTAAACCTAACCAGCTTTGAGGGTGGAGGTAGAGAGGGCCAGAAGATGGGAACTTTAAGAGAATATTGATAATTACCAATGTCTCTAGTCTTCCCTCCTGACTCTGTGCAGCAGCCAAGCCCCTTGCCTACTGTTTGCCTCTGCCATGCCTAGGAGAGCGTTTGGAGCTCACTGAGGCAAAGCATGCGATATTTTCAAGGGCAAGATTGAAAAGGAGTGCGATCAGCGACCAAGAGCGTTAGAACAAGTTCCGAAAGGCACAGAAGCTATCCTGTAGCTGGTAGCCAAGGCGCATCCCCTGATTGCCCCAAGTGTCTATTCCAAAATATAGATTGAATTTTCTGTGGTGATAAGTATTCAGACCGAGGTTATGTCTTAACCTTTTGCTAGGATTTGAACCTGTTATTAGTAGGTATCTAGGTAATTAACTTACTGTTCCATTTAATATGTTCTTTAAATGTCTGCCCCAAATAGAAGCAGATTAGTCCGTTTTGCCTTTTTGGTGCATCCACTGTATTTTTGTACAACATTAAAACTGACCTTTTCTGCTGATATTCATTTTATATTGCTGTAAGATAAGAGACTGGGTTTGAGATATTTCTGATAGGTGTACATTGTAAATCTAGCTGTTTCCTTTAATTGCCTGCTTTGTGTCTTTGCCCTGTTTCCCTTCATGATATTCTATCCTGCATCCCCCAGTCTCTGCATCTTCAGTTCTCAGGCAGGATTCAGCCTAGCCGAATGAACTTGGTTAACTAGTCTGTATTTAACTCTGCTAGGGTAATATTTTTCCTCCGATTTTTACTGACTTGTGGAAAGCAGGCTTCTGCCTGAGGAAGGAAAACAAAGCAGTGGTGCAAGGCCAGGGTCTGGAACAGGCATTGGATGAGCAGTTACACGTGAAGAATGTAATCTTACAGGAGATATTGGTATTCGCTCTTAAAGGAGATCCCGAAAGAGCTAAGTGGTAGGCACAGCCTGATGTAACTTGAAATACTGTACTAGTTGAGTTTTTCAGTGAACTCATAAAGGGAAGCAAAACAAACTTACCCTGTGCTCAGCTGTGGGTTAAAATAACGAATAATGAAATAAAGTAAACTGGGTGAGTGAGAGGTACCACCCAGAGGAATGATTTAAAATGCTCTTCTGGCCTTTTCTGGCCTGTTGTGTTGTGTTGTGTCGTGTCATGTCATTCCCGCCCGCCCACCCACCAGATAGCTCTCCTGTCTTTCAGTGCTGTTTAACAGATTTTCATATCTTTCTGAAGATACAGCATTCTCTTATGTATTTTCTATTTTCTGTGATGTTTATTTCCATTTTATTTTCGTATTTTAGCCCTTTTCCACTGCTATAACTGATTTTCTAATACTTTTTTTCCCCTTTATTTTAAATGACAAGACTCACCTCTTTTCTGGTTCTCAGGTACTTTCTCTTTATATTCAATTCCTTTTATTTAGTTTGAACAATTTGTGCAACAGAAAGGCAAGGAGAACATGAACAACTACACAAAGAACAATTAGGATGAATGGATCAGCCTGTTCTGCAAGGGCTGGTTAAACAATGAGGATTGCAACAGTGAGTTGTATAATGTGTGCTTTTTAAAATAATGTTAATAGATTTTACTAAGTGGCTGTTGGTTTTGGAAGAACACACAATTTTTTTTTGCTTTTTAACCAAAGAGAAATACAAATTATCCATCGCATTCAAAGATTAAGGAATAATATTTTTTTCTATAAATATATGCATTTAAAGTAGTATAAAGTTTTTATTGTATCAGTATTCTGAGGACTAGGGATATACTGTAGATTAATATTTTACGAAATCATATATCTGAGGAAAATATATGAATGACGTATGATTCTTTTAGAGGAAGAAAAATCCCAATTTTCAGATTCAGAAGAAGCACTCTTTCTACTTTATGTATATCTAATAATATTTAGAGAACAAATTTTAAAATACTCATTTCTGGTCATCGATAAGTATATATGATGATGATATCAGAAGTAGTCACTGGTATATTTTCAAAACATTGACAATTCAGCAATACTAAGGTTGGCTTTGTTATTAATAAGTGTTCCTTTACGTGTTTCAAAGTTAGTGGTCTTGGCGCGGGTGAGGTTTTCTGGCCTCTGTTTCGGTTAGTCATAAGGAGCACTGCCTGCAAGTGGTTTCCAGCAAAAGCACTCTTGAAGCTGACTTTAATTATTATTTTCTGCCAGAATCTGAAAAACCGTACTCTTGAGTATAAAATTGTTTAAAATTTGGTGAAGTTTTCCTTGATATAGCGAGTGAAATGTAAAAATTTAGAAAGATAGTTCTGAAAAAGTGGGCTTTGTAGTATTTAGCAGCCATTTTAGTTGGAGCCAGATGATAAATTCTGTTTTCTGAGTCTTTGAGAAAAAATATGCTGAAACTATTTTCTTTGTGCTAATATCCTTCCTAAATTCTGAAGTATTTTCACTCAATTTTTATTTTATTTGTTCTTTTCACACACTTGATTCTGAACTGAGATCAGTAATACTCTTAGTATAAATAATAGCTCACAGATTATTAAAATTATGTCTAAAGCCCAACTTTGTGCATTTTGCCACATTTATTTCTCCTTTAAAATTTTTATACATTCCAGGAGAATGTTTTTATCACAATTCTAATATTGAAATATTCAATATGATAAAGGTAGCTACAAATTTTAAACTATTTAACAAAGTGCTTTACTGTTGTTTGTCTTTGTGGCAAAGGTGTGTTTTATATTTGGTTTACAATTTCTGGAAAAAACGGTATTTAAGACTATTAAAAATTATCTGGCTCTTTCTTGGACCCAAAACTGCAGCTGGGGACTGTGTTGCGCTTGACTCCTGAGCCGTCAGACTGCAAAGTTTGGTAAAAAGGCACACTATGAATTTAGGGAGTGCTGAACCAAGGGTCCCGTCACCTTACAGGAACTACCCCATGGGCAGCCACTGTTATGCAACTCAGGGAGCATTTGTGTTGAGTGGTTTCCCAGGCACTGGTGCCCTTGCCTTTTTTCAAAAGTACTCTTGCCCTGTGAGAATTCATAACTAGCCTACATTTATATAGCTGTAATCTCTTACAATAGCTTCATTGATACTTGATCTCCATAGAAAAGCTTTATGGATTCTAATGAGTCAGAGCTCTTGAGGCACCAGCCACCCTCGCTTCTTGCTCCCTCCCTATCTGTGAGTGGCTTTGTGTCCTGAGTTGTACTGATTGTGCCTTTGGATGACAACTTAACTTGAGTGATGGGGGAAGGCAGAGTAATTTATTAAAAGTAATTACAAAGAAACCAAACAAA